AGCTACGCACATGTAAGGTCATTGATCCAATCAACAAGAACATTGCCCTTCGCTGCCAGATTCCTCAAGAAATTTATCAGGAGTTGCATTTTGCTGGCACTTCCTATGGTCAACTAATTTGCGGCCGTGCTGGATATTGTCTTGTTGTTGATGTGTTCAGTGGTGCCGTGGTTTGTCCCCCACGTCTCCCATTCAGCGGTGATTTTGAGTTTGGGAGGGAGTTCTACTTCAGTGGCACTTTGACGGCTCCCATTGCATCACCCAACTCACACCTCCTTGTCAGTACTGCAATCTCCCTGTTTGATTGGCCGGTCGGAAGTGACTCTTGGTCTGAACTCCAGCTTTCTGATGAATCGATAGAACAGATTGTGGAATTCAATTGTCAGTTCATCGCCATGGATGATTGTTATAAGATCTACGCTTTGCAGCTGTCCCCCCAGCTTGGTCTGCAGGAAATAACAACTGAGTGGGTCGGTCACCTGCCCCCAAGCTCGTACACGAAACCATGGCTAGTGGTCTGCGGCGATATGCTTCTCATGGTTTCCTGTTTCTGGACAGTGAGCTCAGGCAGCTCAGTAGTACAATGTATACCCCACCACCTTGACATGTCGACCAATCCTGCAAAATGGGTCGAGGTAAACCAGCTGGATAATTGGGCACTCTTTGTTGGGGGTGATATGAGGAGCCGACCGTTTTCTTGCATGAGCCCGGAAAGATGGGGTGGGAGGAGCAAGTGGTTGTACTATGCTGGCCGTAGCTCTTTTATTGTACATGGAGTGGGTGATGAGCGGGCTCCTTCTGCCAGCCCCAAGGTAGAGTACGAGAGAAGACGGCCCCGGGCCGGCAAGCTGCAGCCCCTTTGGGTGTATCCAAGCATGTTCTACACTGCTGCGCAGTGACCATCGCGCGCATCGACGGCTTGCTGCTCCACAAGCTCCTGATGAAAATCCCCCCTGCAACACAGAGTAGGGGCTTTTGCAACTTGGGCGGTGCCATCGTAGCATTAGCACTTAGAACATTTGTAGGAGTTTGGTAAACCAGTATCTAGAGCCTGGGAGATGAGTGCTTAGAGCTTGTTAGGAGTAGTCAAGCTTCTAAATCAGTACTATTAATTCAGCTGTGTTGTTTAATTATTGGCTAGATGATGTGCAATACTTTGAACTACCTGTTTCTTGTCTCTACGTCGCGTTCACTTAATTTCGTCCTACGTATTTCTGCGTGTCCTTGGCTTTTATCACTGGACAAGCTCGTCATTTGGAAGTTTTGGTACAATGGTAAAGAAGACAAAAAACTGTCAATGTTATTTGGAATGGATAATCAGAATTGCTTGTGCAAGATTTTACTTTGGGCAGGGAGCTAAAATATACCACTAATAGCATCAGATTCACCTCGATGCAGTACTTTGTTGCTGTGTAATAGGTAGCTCATTCTGGCATATTGTTGAACGATACTTTGACAGTCTTCAGTTGCATCGCTGGTCTGCTCCTTTTCTCTGTTCAGAGAACACACTGTCTGAACATGTTGTGTTTGTTCTCTTCCTCCTATGAAGTATAGACAGAATTACAATTACAGTAAAAAGTTGGAAATCCAAAGAGATTCATATTCCAACTTGTGTATTGGATAGTTCATAAAACAAAATGTAGGATTAATACATTTTGGAGAGGCGGTGGCGAGCCAAAGTTCAAAATGTTTTGAGATAAAAATTGAAG